TATGTGTCTGCTGATGGTATTACTCACCATCATACCTCTGTTTTATTGCCTTGTGCGAGATACATTTTTTTGCCCCTTGTGGCATATACACGAAGAAGTTGACGGTCACTATTTACATGAAGATGTCAAGTACTTTTACTTGAAGGTCGCTCTGCCAGTCGCTTGAGTTTTTAATTCACGACTCTAGTTGCATAACAAGCGACTCATCATGACCATTCATTGAAACTTTTACCCAAAGGTCGCTTGAGCTTTTAATTCACGACTCTAGCTGCCAAACAAACGACTCATCATGCTCAGTAATTGAAACTTTTACTTGAAGGTCGCTAGAGAGTTTTTAATTCACGACTCTAGTTGCCAAACAAACGACTCATCATGATCATTGATTGAAACTTTTACTTGAAGGTTGCTTGCATTTTTAATTCACGGCTCTAGCTGCCAAACAAACGACTCATCATGATCATTCATTGAAACTTTTACTTCAAGGTCGCTTGAATTTTTAATTCCACGAGTGTAGTTGCGAAGTAAAACACAAATAAACGAATCATCATGATCATTCACTAAACGATCTTTTCTCTTTGATCAACCATACGATGTGAAGACTTGATTTAAACTTCCCGTGCAAGGATAAATCCAATGTAAATTCCTATTGTAGTTTTCTTTGAAGATCAATTTCAATGTTTTTAAATTAATTAACTAATTCCTAAAGCTTTGTTTAATCAAAAGATAAAACACCACACGAATAAGACGCTCTTCTTTATCTCTAAAGCATGGTACGAATATTCGATTTTTTGAGAGACAAAAAAAAAAAAATGCTAGCGTTACCGAGTTAGTATTATTGTTTCTCGATTAGAAACCATTTGTGTTCAAGAAACGTTAGTTCCTATAGCAACGTTTGAAAAACAATAGGAATAAATAAAAACAATTGGTTGATCAAAACGACTTTGTCTAGAAGTTCCTTCGCCGCTTCATTTCATCTCAGAGTTCAAGTGTTTTATACCTTCATATTAGTCTTCAATCCTAAATTATGTGTTCGAAACAAGAAATGCAACGTATTGATGGGGAGCTCTCTTCAGAGCTCGTAGACCCCAGATCAATCCGTTATTCCTGAACACGCGTCCACCTTTGGCTGAAAAAAAACAAGATCCGTTCTTTTGTCTTCAAATCAACGGATGTCTTCTATGGGAATGGCGAAACTTGAATATAGATGATGACCGCATCTTCAAGGCCCTACAAGACACTTTGCCTAAAATTGGATACCGATTGGGTTCTTGCGTGCGCAAACGCGTTGGAAATAGTGTTAAGGCGAGGGTGCACTACCTCGTGAAAAAAATTAGGAGCGCCAAAAGTGGCAAAGAAATCTTTGAAGGCTGAATTTTGGTGTAAGATGACAATTTACCAAGAAGAAATACTTCAAGCGCCCGACGATGTCATCGCTCAGCTTAAAAAAGAAAAAGAAGCAGTCGAGCTGAAAAAAGAAAAAGAAGCAGTCGAGCTGGAAAAAGAAATTCCCCGACAAGAATTAGAAGGTAACTAAAAAGCAAAACTAAACAATGAGAAATTAAACACCTGCTTAATATTGATATGAATAATCTTTTTTTTTTTTAAACACAGAACAAGCATCTCTGCTTCACAAAGCAATGTAAGAAATTCAAAAAGAAAGATCCCATGGTAAAGCGGAAACGGGCCAACGTCAAAAACAGCGTGATCTGAAGAAAATACAGTAGCGAATTGTTTGTTCGTGTTCTTTTTTCCGTTTAATGAAGACATCACCACAACATGGTTTAATTTGTATAAACCTTCATAACTTAGAGACGCATCACTCAAATCAAGAAATATTTTACCAATCAACTATTTACTTTATGCAGAACCAGTACTGAATATATTGTCAAAGGGTTCATTTGCACTTTAAATTTTTTTTCTTTCTTTCCCTTTGTAGAAAAAATTACATACGAGATGCTGAAGACAGAAGACAAAGAGAAAGTCTGAATAATATTATACATAATGGACCGGTTCTCAATGTATCTCTTGGTTTTACAACTCTTTTTAATCTTTTGAATATTTTATTTTCATTTTTTTTAAATACGGTGCAAGCTCAGAAAAATAGAAATTGGAAGTCTCTGAAAGGCTGCTGAAGGAGCTTCTTGACAGTGTCTATGACAGATTAGACGACATCGCAAAACTCTCTCGGCATTCTCTTTTTGAGAATAATGGATCATATAATATGAATATGCCTATGAGTTGAGCAATAAGAAAACTTCCTTTTTTGCATATGAAATGTGAATTTTTCAATGAAGAGAGCATGTCAGCAAAAATCAAACATCGGGCGGCAAGGGTCGAAAATTTGATTTTGCTAATATTTTAAACTTAGGTAGGCCTTAGTGTAAGTAAAACCACTGTGTAGTTTGGTAAAATAGCGCTTAGTTTTCGAGAAAATCGAAGAAAAGAGTTTTGGACTAAATTCGCTAATTTTCGGCTGATTATTTACATCAACTTTAACAGCTTATCGCGACCAAACAAAGCAACCTAGCACTGTAATAAGACTAAATAGTAGTTAATTGTTATCTTAAGAAACAATTGGTAGAGTTTTAGTAATTTTGGTGAAATTTTTCGATTTTTACTTAATTTATTTTTGGAGCACATATAAAACTCCTCTTAAAATAATCAGATTTTTTTTCATGTGCAACGAAAAAATTTTACCAAAAAGACAACCTGAATTAAAGTTGAAATAATGATTTCCACGAATCATGCAAAATTTTCTTGGGGGAATTATTTTGCTCGTTGCACCTTATCCCTGTGATATCACAAGTTAGACTGATCATAAGACAGATAGGAAAGCAATTGCAAATCTCGTGAAGCAGATGAGAAATTTAAGCATTTACAAAAAAAAACCAGAGAGTTGAAACTGAGGTTATGGATGACCTAAAAGACAATTTTCAGATTTTTATTCTATCAATGCTGTGAAGACCTTGGCAACAAAGTCAGGTTGATGAAACATAGAAAGAGTCCAAGGACGAAAGCCAAACTTTTAGGAATTGATAAACTGGACTGATATGGATACAAAATTGTTTCATTCAATCAAGGACAATTTAGACCATCCTTTAAATAGCATTCTTCCAAAAATCAATCATACAAGATATAATCTTAGAAAACAGAGTACTATAAAACCCAAAATTAATACAGAGCGGTATAAAAGCAATTTTTATGAATAGATTAGCTTTTAATAATTTAGGAATTTGATATATTTTAATTTCATTTATTTTAATTCTTAAATTTATATAGTTTTCAGTGGTACAATTGTTAATATATATTTGTGTTTTATTCATATAATAAAGACGTTATTATCATTATTATTATTATTATTATTATGGAAAGTAGATAAGTTCTTTTGGCTAACGACCTTCCATGAAGCCCTGCGTCGTATGCAATTCAGACTTCCCTTGCCAATTTTTTAGAAGCTTTTAATGTTTTTAAGAAGTATGAACATGGTTCAGAAGATCCCGAGTGCCTAAGACCAATCCTGAGAAACTACCTCAACGAACTTTACAATAATAATGACAGTGAAAAAATGATTCAACTGATGGAGGAAATAAACCAAGTCAAAAGCCATGCCTTTTCATTATCTGACAAGAAGATCTACCTCCAAGAGCTAGCCAGTGACCTGGCATCACCAATCGTCAACCCTTGGTTCACCAATCACCCCAATATCATATCTTTGGATGATTTTTTCCAAAACTCCAAATCAAGAATTTGCTATATCCCTGAAGTCGATGGTGGGCATACTGTGAAAAAACTGCTTCTCATGACATGCAATTTTTCCATGTTTTCAAGCCCCATGAGATCCCAAGCGATCAAATTCCAGCGGTCGTGGATCGAATGATAGCTTTAATGTTTCCAGATGAGGTAGCCATTCCTTTTTTAAATGTGTTATCTTCTTCGCCGGTTTTTCCATAATACATTTGATTTTACTTCTCAAGCGAATGAACTCAGTGCAAAAAAGAAACCCCTACAATTGAATAACTTTAATATTTTAAGTCTAAAGACACTATTTCTTATTTTTACAGAACCAATCTAAGACTTAGAGTGGAGGTGGACAGCAAACTGACCAAACCAGCTCCTATCAATGTTCAAGATGCCAGAAAACTTTCACAAATAAAAAGACTTTCAAGCTCCACCAGCGGGAACACGACAAGGGGAAAAGCCACAAGTGTCCACACTGCCTTAAAGGTTTCAAGAGAAATTCAGACCTATCAAAACATCTGAAAACCGTCCACTCGAAGCACAACACGAAAAAAGAATTCAAATGTGGGAAGTGTAATAAAACCTTCTCTGAGGAAAATACCTTCAATGTACACGTAAGACAACACTCCAATCATGAAAAGAAGAGAAAGCTGCCAAGCGATGATTCCACAGGTATGTTGATAATTTTTTTGCTATATCTTAAAACACGCATAATCATTACGTTGTGTTATGTGGGAAGTATAAAAATATGTCAAAGTTGAGCGACTTTTGTAATTATTCACGCTGATAAGCGATTCATGTCCAGTGTGTAAACAATAGTGTCTCGTGTGTAAACAAATGATGGATTATCTGTCTCAAAAAGGAATCAAGTTAAATTAATTTTTGGTCCAGTGAACTCGTGAATAATACTTTGTACAATTTTTAATATTTTATACACTTTATTCACAGGATGTTATTAGACGGTCACAATTGTTAAATTACCAAAGGCAAAACTGAAAACGAACGATGTGGAAAGTCCATGGCTGAGCTTTATGAAACAACAAGAAAGAACAAACAGTACCTAGAGGATCTGGGGTACACTGTAGTCGAGAAATGGGAGTGTGACTGGTATCGAGAAAGGAAGAACCCATCTTCGCCGTCCACTAGACAAAGTACAGCATGACAGAAGATGAGGTACTCAACATGTGAGTGATGGAAAGTTGTTTGGTTGCGTGGAGTGTGATATTCATGTTCCAAACCATCTTAGTGAATAGTTTTCTGAAATGTGCCCCATATTTAAAAATGCTGAAATCAATCGTGATAATATCGGTGATTTCATGAAACAATTCGCTGAAGAGAGAAATATCATGAACCAACCAAGAAAAAGTTTGATCGGTAGTAATCATGCTACCAAGATACTCCTCGCCACTCATCTTCTTAAATGGTACCTTGAACATGGACTGGTGGTCACCAAAGTATATCAAGTTGTCGAATACACCCCTGAAGCATGCTTCAAGTCATTTGGCGATGCTGTTTCGAACGCTAGAAGGGCAGGTGACGTTGATCCAAGTAAAGCCATCATAGCAGAAACTATGAAATTGGTGAGTAACACTATGCATAATTTATATAAAAAATAAAAAAATAGAGAGAGAGAGAGAGAGAAAAGAAAGGGAAGGGGAAGAGAAAGTAATTCGGTATCACTCAAACTCAATTGTTCTTGTCCATCTCAACAGGTTGGTAATTCCAGTTATGGGAAGACAATAACCAACAAAGAGAAGCACAGGGATATACAGTTTTGTAGTGAAGACGAAGCTCCATGAAAACGATGTATTTTAGAGGAATAGAGCAAATACAGTCAACTCTCTTTGAACGACCACCCTCTAAAAGCGACCATCTCCCGTAAGCAATCATTTTTTGAAATTCCCATTTTGTTCCCCATATAAACTCTGTAAAAAAAAATCTCTCGTAAGCAACCACTCTCATAAGCGACCGTGACCACCTTTGAGTTAAAATTTTGGAATTTTCATTGTCTTTTTTCTCCCGTAAGCGACCACCCAAGAGCCAGTCAATGACAGATCCTTTAACAATAAAAAAATTAAGAACACAGAGTCATCAGGTATTAGAAACCCGACCAAATATTGACAATTATAGTACTGTAAACATATAGCAGTTTACTAAAGCAGTTTAATCGTTAATATAGTAATTTTAAAACGTGAGTTACAAATTATAAATGGTTTAGTGTTCCTGTTTTAGGATTCCCATTGTTTGGGATTCCTGTGTTGACTCTCTAGTAAGTGACCATCTCCCGTAAGTGAACACTTTCTCCTGGCCCCAGGGTGGTCGCTTATGGGAGAGTTAACTGTAGATGAACAAACATATGAAATACAGTCTTGTAAACAGAAAATTAAGTTTGATTTGCCAATACAAATTGGTTTCCTTGCATATCAATATGCCAAACTCAGGATGCTACAATTTTATTATGCTTGTTTGGATAAATATATTGATAGATGTAATTTTCAATACACAAAAATGGATACTGATTCAGCTTATATAGCTTTAGCAGAAGAAAGCATAGACCAACTTGTAAAGCCTGAGTTAAAAGTGGAGTATTTGAAAGATAAATCAAACTGGTTTCCACAAACAGATACCCAGGAACATAGAGCTTAATTCAAACGAACTCCAGGTCTGTTCAAAGTACAATGGGAGGGGGACGGGATTATTGGGTTGTGTTCAAAAACCTATTATTGGTTTGGTCATAAGGACAAGTTTTCATGTAAAGGCGTCAGTAAAAATAATAATTGCATCAATAAAGAGAAATATTTGAATGTTTTGCTTGACAAAGACAGTGATTCAGGTATCAATAGAGGCTTTAGAGTTGTGAGCAATAGTGCCTACACGTATACACAAGTAAGAGATGGTTTCTTGTATTTCTATCTTAAGTGTAAGGTTTTGAGTGATGGTATATCAACCATCACTTTAGATATTTAATCAACACTTTATCGGATAAGATATTTAATATTCCTTGATCTTTTATGTTAGGTGCTTATCAATAACATATAGACCAAACATGTAGCTGTAAGTATAACACCTTTAGTTACTCATTCAATAAAATATTTTATGAGTGAACACGCGTCTCTATTAAATGTCCCGATTATCCCCTTTCTCCCTTTTGTCCCTCGAAGCCTATTTAAAATTCAAAATTCCCTAATATGAAACTCATGTTCAATGGGGTTCCTCAGAATATTATATGGTGCTATGGTATGCCCCAACCTGCATATGAAATGATGGTTACCGTGCCAAACCTTTCTTTCGTGGTGAATTGCTAGTAGATTATTATGCCTCCAAATTGGGATAGGCAGTTGAACCAGGAGACAATCCCCTACTCTTACACGAATAATTCAACAGGTTCTTTTATGTCCCCCCATTAACTGTAGGTTAGGAAGGATTGGGAGACAGGGCCTACAGTTTTCAGTCCTTGTCTGAGAAGACTTGAACTCTAACCATTTGCAGATGTAATTACAGGCAGCACCTTCTACTCAGTTATTTTAAGACCCTGAGTGTTGGTCCTGCCGAGGCTTGAACCATGACCTCCCGCACAACAGACTGACATTCTTGCCAACTGAGCTAACCGGGTGGTGGTACACATGGATTACCCATACTGCATCCAACACTTACAGTAAACTAAAACCTAAACCCTAAGGTACAGCTGTAAATCTAAACTCAAAGGCTGCATCATATCTTTTGTGAACTAAAGGCATTCGAGACGGTAACCGATGCTTTAGCCCCATAGAGGTTTAGCTGCAAGAGCTTGGAAAATAAAACCAAGACATTAAAAAGCATTTTGCCTTTTGTCACTACACTGGCATCTACTATCTCAAACTGAGAAGCTAAAAAGGATTTATTCAGATCCTCAAACAGTGTCTTACAGGAAGGACAAATCACTAAAAGACCTTTCGGTCAGAGCCAAGATACCTTCCATTTAAATAAACAACCAGTTTTTTTGAAAATGGCGAATGTAGAAGGTAAAGGCAGTGCCATTTTATCATAAAAGTTCACATGGGACAGAATGGGGTGGTAAAAGTGTACAGTAATGCAGAAGTGCTGTCCTGTCCAAGATCTTTCCATGAAGATCCAGTGCCATATGGTAAATAAGGATTTTTTTATTGATGATAAAATCCAATATTCCAAATAGCTTTTTTTCTATCTCTTCAAAATTTCAGTTCATTATTATTAACTTTTGTGTAACATTTCATTTAATAGATGATGTTGGCTTTGAAGTACAAGTACCTTCCCATGACTCTTCTACCAATGAAATTAATAGTTGATTATGCATACAAGCTATACAGTGGCTGTACCTTTCTTTCTGAATCAACTAAATTTATCTTTCTCGTGTCAGATCCATCTATCCATGAAGTCCCTGACGAAGCAATCAAGTATGAGGTGATCAACGGAGGATCCAAATGTGGCAAAGAACTGTTAGTAGACAGTTCTGGGCATTCATACAGGAAGCATAAAAAATACAGGAAGCTGCAGAAGCTTGCATTCGAATTGTGGGCAACATACAAAGAGGGGGGAAAATCAGTCATGGAGCTACTGATTGGTTCCCTGGTGCAAAACCTGACCAAGATCCTACAGGATCCTGTAGGATCCTGTAGGATCCTGTTTAGGAATAAGATCCTATGTAGGATCCTATTTAGGATTAGGATCCTAAATAAGATCCTAAATAAGATCCTATTTAGGATTAGGATCCTACATAGTATCAAGATCCAAAGTAAGATCCTGGTTAGGAAGTAGGATCCTAAGTAGGATCCTGGATAGGAATTAAGATCCTGAGTAGGATCCTGGGTAGGATCTTGAACAGGATCCTAATAAAGTAATAAGCAGGATCCTAAGTAGGATCCTGGGTAAAAATTAAGATCTTGAGTAGGATCCTCGGTAGGATCTTGAACAGGATCCTAATAAGTAATGAGCAGGATCCTAAATAGGATCCTGGCTAAAAATTAAGATCTTGAGTAGGATCCTGGGTAGGATCTTGAACAGGATCCTAATAAGTAATGAGCAGGATCCTAAGTAGGATCCTGGGTAAAAATTAAGATCTTGAGTAGGATCCTCGGTAGGATCTTGAACAGGATCCTGATAAGTAATGAGCAGGATCCTAAGTAGGAACTTGGATAGGAATTCTATTTTTTGTGGAAAAAAAGGTAGACTATATATAATCAATACATAATTACTTGTAAAACAGTATTTATTTCAAGGATGCATTTTGTTATCACCAGCTTGATTATATCCAGTGTTATGTAATATATTTTACAAAAATACCTTATGTATATTCTAGTTAATTAAAAGTAGTCGTAGTAGATTAAATAAAAAGCTGTGTGTTTCAACTCCGGTAGCAGAGATGTTGCTCACAGGCCAGATGGAATCAAAGTATTACATACACTCCGACTTCATTATCACAATATAAATTTGAAAATTAAATGCTCATTCAGCCAACATAAATACTGTCAATTGAATAGTGTAAGTCAGTCTGTTACAATCACTTTAAGTTTGTTATCAAGAGTATTAAATTACAAGAGTTTACTTTAGACCTTCCAGATAATGAACACGTCTTAAGATATTTATTATTGAATTCATTGTCATTTTCATGATGGAACATAAATGCATATGCATTAATTAGCATCTGTCACTGCAAAAGGGATACCAGAACCAATTGTAATACCAAACTTTTCATCAAAGATATGTTAGACTAAATCGTGAACAAAATTATTAAGTCTAGAATTCCTACTTAGAAGGATTATTCTGGGTATAATCTTCAACAAAATTTTAATTAGCTGGAATATATAATACAATTATTTGTAAAATTCATAGACATATATACAGTCTGATATTATATGCATCTGACATTAGTTCTGCGGTGATACGTCTTGTGGTTGTGAGTTGTGACTGCCTGATGGCTGTGTTAGCATACTAACCTAGTCATGCTGGTAGCTCTTTAACACTGAGGAAACATATCCATCAACACCAGCATCATTACTTTCTACATATACCACCCTTGTTTCAATGTTGGAGCACTTTATAAGCTTAATCCTCCTTGTGAATAGTACTCCAATAAAGGACTGACCAAGAATACCTGATGCCCAAAATTCATGCATCACATCATCAGTTGGAGGAGGTAGACCATCTGAGCAGATATTTGAACCTGTGCTGCATAATTCTTTTATAACAGCATAACCATCATTATTAGAATCCTTAAGGAAGTACTGGATCTCACCAAAGCTCGTGCTGCTATCTTGATCAGACTTGTATTTCACCAAATAACTTGCGGATTTCCCCTTCTTCTTGTAACACAAGCTATGGTACACTTGGCCACCTTTGGACATTCTTTGCGCAGCATTCACATCTCTATGGTCATCAAAGTATCCCTCTATTGGACCATCAACTACTGGAACTTCTCGGAGTAGTGGAGGAAAAAACTTGATGCCATTATTGATTTCTACACCACTTGACGATCCCATAAGTTTTTCAACAAAGCCACTTGCTTCATCATTACCACTAATATTTTTTTGGACAAAGTGTTTAGAATGTAGAGCAACAGCAAGTCTCTTAACGATCTGTTCTGGAATACCACGTGTCCCATGAAACATACGTTTCAAATGAGCCAACATTGACTCAAACACAAAACTTGAATGTAGAATTAATGGCCCATGCTCTCTGACTTGTTGTGGCAGGTGAGTTAAAGCATGAGAATTATATGTACATTCTCTTCTGGAAAACAACTTTGGAAGAAGGCGTGTATAGCTTTCAATCATAGCTTCAGCTA